GAATGACAAGGACACATCGAAACCAGTCGCTAGACATTTTAATTTACCTAATCATTCTAAGCAACATATGGCAATCTGCGGTCTTTCCTTACACTTAGGTAGCACGGAAAGCCGTAAAACTCTTGAACAAAAGCTCATCTTTCAAACCGGCAGTCTAAATCCCACAGGGATCAACGAACGCTTTTCATTCCACTAATTTATTCGTGTTTTTCTCGTTGCCATGTTCCCACCAATAACGTAGCTCCATTTTCTGCCTTTAAAAGCACACACAACCCACAATTCCTCTATTCGCTCCGACGAAGGGCTAACGCTCGAAACGTCAGCTTTTGTAATCATTACGGTGGCCAATTTACCATTTCAACTTTGTTGATATATCCAAATTATTTTGTTACTCCCACCGAAGCAGCCCCAAATAGTTTCTTTCGAAACTATCAGCCTTTATTCATTTGTATAATTTTTAGCCATCTAAAAGTATTATTAGAATGTAAATAAGGCTCCAGTTTTACATTTGAAATTTTACTCTAAATGTGTAAATAACTAATAAATTTATCTTTAAACTTCTGTAGGTTAAGTAACTAAGTAGTGTTCCCAATTAGTTGTTACACCAATAAGGCTAAATACATTGACACTTAAATTAAGTTTTCATCCATTCCTTAATTCATTCCTCATGAAAGACATGGACCATTACACTGGGTAGATGAGCTCACAATATATATCTGTTATTCACCAGCCTGGAGCTCCGTATCGGGAAAAACTGTGCCCGAAGTCTTGGATACCGCCCGAGGCCTACGGCCTCGGGCGGTACTCAAGATAGAGGGCACAGTTTTTCCCAATACGGACCGACCTATGCTGGTGAGCAACAGTTTTGTTTTTTTCTAACACATAACAAAATGATTGCCAAAAGAACCCGAATGATTTAGGGCTACAATTACGAGTTTAATGACGGAAAATCCTCCATAATCTTATCAACTTGTTAGTGAGTGAATGAGAAAGAATACAGACGTTATTCAAATTGAAGACAAAGCTTTCACCGAAATATTTTAAATTTGTAACTGTAACTGAAAAGGCTTAAGAGCAAACTTTGAAACATTTTTTTGACAAGTAACTGTCACCATGTGACACCTGTCAATTGAAGAATAAAAAACAGCGTACGCTTTTGAATAAACAACAGTACTGGTGTGACAAACACACACCAGTTACGTATGATGCACGATCCTCGCAGTTGAGAGCGCTATTTATGCAATAGCGAAAATCAGACCTGAAAATAATCCAGGCTTGTACCGGATTCGACCCGCTGACCTCTACGATACTAGTGCAACGCTCTACCAATTGAGCTAACAACTGGGAGCAGGCCGTTAAGTTGATTCGTAATAAACCCGTGATGATTAATCAGATGCAATGAATATATAAAGTTCATATATTTTGAACTGCGGTTCTAGATACGTATGATGCACGATCCTCGCAGTGGAGAGCGCTATTGGTTATATTTCCTTGGGAATTTGACAAGCACAATTCCAAAGATATCTCTATAATTTTGGCAAGCACTTATCATAAATCTAGTTGGAAGAAGAACCTTTCTACATAGAATGAATACTTGCTAAAAGCAAGGATTTGAAATATTTATTCACTAGTGGAAATACCCTTAAAATGAGAATTTAAAGTCATAATTCTTAAAACAAGGAATGTAAATCTTATTTTTAATGGTGGTATTCTTAAACTGAGGAACTTTCATTGGAGAGGATAAAATTCTTAAAAGCAGAAGTCTTGATCCTTACTTTTCAAGGAATTGACTCTCAAATTAAGGAAAAAACCATTCTTTTGAATATCCACTTACTTAAAATGAGAATTCCGAAAAACATAAACTTTATAGTGGTGTGAACATCCTTGTACTTGTTTTCATCCTCGTGCTAATAATTATCTCAGGCTTCAAGCGGGGTACTCAATTGCAACACAAGCATAGGCATAAACATAACAAGCTAATGTGCAGGTGGGCACAGCTGCAACATAAACATGAGCACAAGCGCTCAGTCGATGTTATGTTAAATAGGGATATGGTTGGTATAAACAGTATAGTGCTTGCTGATTGCCTGAAAGTCTTCCACTTATGTTAATCCTTACGCTTATGTCAACCAAGTTGTTTAGAAGACGTTAATGAACTTGTGCGCGTGCGACTCGCGTGCGCGTGCTTTGGGACTACGTGGGCTAATAATGTCGTAAGCAAATCACGCGGACCCTTTAATTTTGACGAGTGCGATTTTTCAGAGGGTGTTGAAAATTTCTTAGTTTATCGAGTAGCAGTTTTAAGTTGTAGTTTACCGTGAGTCTACAGTTTACTGTGTTGGAATTAAAGTGTTTGTTTGGATTTCCCGTTTCGCTTCCGAACATAAGTCTTGACTAGACAGTATAAGCATAAAAACAAGGCTACGTTTTGATAATCTTAT